TATTACTCAGGAAGCTCAAGTAAATAAAAGAAATATATTGATTATACCATTTTGACTTTAATAGAGTTTTCGTTTTTCGAAAAAGAAAAAGATGTGTCGCTTCTTTTAGGTTTATGAGAGTATAGAAGCTAGTGCAATACTTTCCTCTGATGCTATATTAATATAAGCTTGATTGATTACATCCTTGAACTCTTTAGGTGTGTGGTACACTTCTTGATAGAAAGAATATGTAGCCTAATGTTTAGTTTTGCTCTGTATAGGGTAACTGATAGTTATAACATGGAATTAGTATAAAATACTGACAGATATATGAAATTACATTTATTCGATTTGTTGCATAAATCAACAATGCTCATTATATAAGTGGTTACTTATACAATATATCTGATATATAGAATAGATTTTGTAATCATATGTTGTTGTGTAATGATTATATATCTCTCAATACATCTATTTGAAGCAGAGTTATCTCAAAGATGTTCTTTCAATCTGAAAAACTTTTCGTTTTTCTCTAGCAGAGTTCCAACTGTTGATTGTTCTTTTGGTTTTGAGCTTCCAAAAACAAACATTTGACCTCTTCTCCTAAATCCAATCAAGTTTAGGAAAAATTTTCCAATCGACTTCCGAGATCATCGACTCTCTTCTTCAATTCTGAAGAACTCTAACACTCCTAACTTGACATAACATTGAAGACGTAGAAGATAGAATACTTATTGAAAATGCCATAAATAACTATATCTATTTATCTTTTTTATTAATAATATCTGCTTATCATTTCCTATATCTGTTATAAGAAGACTTAATTGAATTTTCAGACAATCTATAGAAGACGTCATATGTTATATACTTTTATACATCTTCAAGAAAATGTTTTCTTAAAACAGAAACTCTATGAGAGTCGGACAATCATATTTGTGAAAAAATATATTGTTTTTTTTATTTTTATTTTTATTTTTAATAATCTATGTTTTTTTTTTGAAGATAGGTTTACGTTTAATGTCGTTTGGACAATTAACAAAATGGCTAGAACAATCAAAAATTCATCAATTAATGGTCTTATTATCAAAACGTTCTTTACCTGATCCGGATGATCAAAGTAATTAAGACTTTTGTTTTTTAAAGAAACTTATTTTATTTTTATTTAGTTCGAGTAAAACGACAATGTACGGAATTAGAATAAGAGAAGGAAAAAAAAAATCTTTGTTTTTTGTTTGTTTGTTATGATAAAAAATTATAATAGAAAATTGTTATTATTGGTGATATATACATTTCAACATGATATTTGTTTTTGACAACTAAACGAAATAAATAAAATAAGAAAATTCATTGAACTAAAAGTGTTGATACACATAATATTGTGACATGTCTAATGAAGTAGCTGTCTTTCGAGAATGTAGTTACTAGTTTGATCGTTAGACTGTAAATATCAGAAAACCGATATGGTCCATATATAATTGATCGAGAATGTCATCTTCGAAATGTTAGATCGTCGAAAGTTTTACCGGTGAAACAACAGCTCGCCAAAAGATACATCATCAAATTTTAACGATCTGTATTTCGACGAAGTACATACATACCAATATGACTATCGTATTCTCTATCAAAAATGACCTAGATCCAATAAATAAGATAAAAGTGAATCTCGCATGCCAAAACTATGTAAAACTCATACTGACCTCATAGAGACCTCATAAAGAAGATCTCTGGTACAAGCCATTTCTGGAGATCCCACGCTGATTTTTTATGTGGTTGTAGTCCAGAGAGAGTATCTCCAACATCTAATGATCAGTTCCCAAACTGATTCATATATGGCAAAAAAATAATCGACTCTGAAAACCTTCATTTTTATCAAAAACTCGTTTTTGAGGGGAGTCTTTGGTCAAACAGAAAGATATAGAGAGCCGAAATTTTCAGAGAAGATACATCTCTCCGTGCTCTATCTATGGTGAAAGCTTGAGACCTCGATCTCATTTCAATCGAAAGTTATGAGGCATCAAAGTTGCCAAAAAAGTGCGTTATTCAATGAGTCATAAAATCCTAATGACTCAAATTTTTGGGACAAAAATTTTATGGTAAGTAGGACTAATCAAGATACATATATCTATATAAAATTTCAGCTCAGTCAGCTTAAGTCATTCTCGAAATATAGCCACATTAGGACTCCCATTGATGGATATTGTGTTTTTGCGTAAAAAGCTTATAGAATATCGAGAATTCAATATTTTTGAAAACGGCTTGCATCAAAATTCATAAAATTCTTCTCTCTACTAAATATTGTAGATTGAGCAAAACCTGACGATCTCGATCGATCAGATTACGTCGTGGCATGTCAACATAATGTTGGTGTGTGCAATATAGTAAATAGGATAAAGAAACAATAAGTTAGATTATGTCTAGTAAATAATTTTCTCAAACATTATATCAGTAAGTTATTCAAAAGAAAGTTAATTTTAATCAACTTTTTTTTTCTTTTTTTCAAGTTGATTAATATGATTTATTTCAAAAATTAGTTATTTAAATTCTTCATTTAATTGATGTCAATGAATTTTTGTTTCTATTAACATAAAGTTTATGTCTATTATAATCAATCGAGAATATCAATTATTGATATATCAACAAACATGATTAAAAAATAAATGAAAAATAAAAGTAAGTTTTCATATTGAAAATCACAAGAAACATTATTCATTTACAGGTAGTCTAAAAAGTATCCAGACACCTAACTGTGTTTCCATTCATATTGACCAACTTATACAACAATGATAAGGAATAAATTGTCACTTTTTTCACAAACGAATTAAACGTTGATTTTCATACGGAGTAAAGTACGAATTGCAGACTATCAAATAATGAAGAGAGATATGTTTTTTCTCTGTGTAAGAAGAAATTTCAATATTTGTACTCTTATGACACAAAAGGAAAAATATCAAGAAAGAACTTCTACTAGACTTTGTAGAGCTTTTCCCGCTGATCATTATGGTAAAAAAACATTTACAGTTTCATTAAGAAATGACGGTGTTATAGTCAAAATATTAAACACTCTGAAATCCCGAAGGCTCCAAAATGTTTACAACATAGTTTGTTTTGCGAATATCTCTGCACAGACAAATGATAAATTCTTGGTTTTTTTCTTCAAAAGATGTGCCGTGAAAAGCTCTACAAAAACTGTAAGAACAAATTTCTATTGACTTGTTCTGATGGTTTCTTCCATACTCGAAATGAAAAAAACATACATGATAGTGCTATCTTCCAATCGTATTTAACGTAATAAAAATGTTCGGAAGACTTTTATATTTTACATGTATCTCGACTAAAGGAAATGATAGCACCTTGATTTTTTTTTCAAAAGATACGCCGTCGAAAGCTCTATAAAAGCTGTGAAAATTCTATAAACAAATGCCTATTGCAAAACAAAGACATCTGCCAAACATTTTTATTATCATTTTGCGCATTTTTATCTCATCTTTTTTCTCAGCACTTAAGTTTGATTTTTTTTATTGTATTTTATTTTTAAGGGTTTTTCATATTAAACAGGTGTATATATATAGTACTTGACCTCTATTATATAGACATATAATGAAATTAAATTAATGTTGTGTAGTATTAATACATGACTCAAAACAAAAAACTGGAGAAATACTTTTGACGTCGACTGTATTTTGATAATTTATTATTAACAATGTATATCTTTATTTTTTGTAGAAGAAAGATGGTCACTTAATATTTGCAATTAATCAATTATCTTTGACACTTAATCAAGGAAACATCAACGTCGATCAATTTTTTGATGAAGTTCAGAAACTAAAAGCTGTATAAAAGAAATAAAAGAACATATAAAATCATTTTTTTTCTTATTGACTATGATATGATTTCTTGTTCATTAGCTTAAGTTCCTGAATAATATAATCAGGGTGTTTGGTTTTTATTATCCAGGATTTGTTGTTATTCATCTAACTTTTTTGTTAATTCTCATTCAAGATATTATTCATAATCCAAATCCTGTTATTCATCATGAAGTATTTTTTTGTTGCTCATGTTCCAAGTTTTTTATTTTATGTAGTATCATTAGAATGATCATATAATAGAAAGAGAATGTAGCTTCTTAAAAGAGATACTTTTAAATAAACATTTAGCCATTGCAACAGATTTGGCTACAATATTTTCTAATAAATCTAGAAACGATAATGAAAGTGGAGGACCATAGTGGTTGATAAAAAAGATGAACGAACGAAAACATTTAATACAAGTGTTGACTCATCAAATGATCATCTGAATTTTATTTAATAGAAAAGAGTCGTGGTCATTTGAGATTAGTCTTCATTAAAAACAAGAAATCGAAATAAACTTCATCTAATATTTTACTTCATTGATGAAAACATTTGAAAAATGAAAATCAACTATTCGCAAATATGCAATACTATTTGACATGAATAATTACATTATTTATTATTCAAGAAAATTGATCAAGAAACGGATATCAATGAACAACATGTTCAGCATGTTTTATTACCGTTAGTTATGAGTAAGACGACAGAGCCAATACTTCTTAAAGAGTCTAAAAGTAGCAATATTCAATAGAATGATAGAGTTTATATCAATGATTCATTTACACCAAAAATTTACTCTGTAAAAGTAACTTCACTTTTGAAGAAAACTGAAAGCATTCGAGAGCAACTAGAAACTCGGAACAAACTTTCAGAATATTCTAAGAATCATTCGATCTATTTGTAGGGCGCAATTTTGGATGAAAACTTCGTTATTTGGTCTTTCTAGGAGTATCCAAAGATTGGTCGTAAATCCAGTAAACCAGTCATAGCTCGACGTCAAAGGCCCACGAAGAATGTTTCTTCCTAATGTTACTGAGACATTGCTGTGAGCCGAATATGAGGTGAAACGACGGATGCCAGTTGAGGTAGTTCGCTCGTCAGCGTCTGAACTCTTTATTTTAACGGTCTATTTTTTTCTTTTCGTCAAAAAAAACCACTGCAGGCTATTATGAGTTACAATTCTTTTAGAAAATGTATACTGCATTCGCTAATCGATGATGTTAATTCATCAAGAATACTGTTTGTAGATGGTTCAGATTCTTCATAAACTGTACTCATATGATCTATTGTAATTAGTTTAATAGGTAAATTAGGATTAGTCTTGGTTATCGTTGATTGTTGAATTGTAGATATTGTTGGATATTCCATAATATTGGATATTTCATTAGGTAAATTATAATTTTGTTTTGTTGTTGAAATTAATGAATTATCAGTACTAGCTAAAGATGTATTTAATGAAGATTTGAAAGCATATTGTGATGATATATGATTATCTTTTGAAGATAATTCAATAGTTTCTGGTCGAAATTTGGTTTCTTGTATTAAGGATTCATTAATGTATGAATGGTATTGTTTAGATATTATATCTTGATTTGCTTGTTTTGTTTCATTAGTATGATTTAATGTGTTAAACTCGATGTCTAATGGAATCTTATCGAATTTTGATTTATTTGAAGACGAATTTGAAATATATTCAATATCACTAATAAAGAAAATAAACATTTCGTTCGATAATAATTAAAAATTTAATGAAAAAAAGTAACCTATTGTCTTTTGATGGTTGAGAAATAAATTTTTGTGTATTTAATATATTTTCAGATATTCTTGATATATGTTTTTGATGATTTTTACAAGATTTTTTTACTCCATCAGATGATCTTAGTAATTTTGTTTGTAATGAATATTCATTTTCATGACTATCAACTGATTTTCGAATAAAATTTTCTTTCGAATCAGATTTTGTTATTGTCGTATGAATGGTTATACTAAAAGATTAGTAGTTTTTCTTTTTTGAGAGAATAATAAGGCAAAAATTAAATCATCTTACGCATTAACATCATCAGTGCTTGTTTTTAAATTGTATTCATTGAAATTTGGATCCATGGTTAATTGTGATTGTTCGACATGATCATGTTTTGTTGTTTCATTGTATGTATTTATGGATGTAGAAAACGAATCAGATGGTGTTTGATTTGATGTGTAAAGTTTACTCAATTGGTTTGAGAAACTTTGAATTTGAGTTGAATTTTTCATAGGATTTGATGTCAATTGAGAGAAATGTGATTCAGTAGTTGATAAATTTGGTATATGTAAAATTTGATTATTATGAGGTGTTGATGAAGAAATATTTGATGATTTCTTATTACGAACTTGATTGATTCGATTTGATGATGTTTGAGATGATGAAATATTTCGAATTCGTCTTTGTGCAACATCGTTCTGAATTCGTGAATAAGGTAGAGCGCTTTTTGAAAAAATTGATATTGAATGATTTGATTTTGTGACATTTTGATGAGTTTTTTTAGGAATAGATTTTTTTGATTTTGTTACTGTTTTTTGTTTAGTTGTTAAAGTCGGATTTATATAATCAATTTGCGATCGATTTGTTATTGAATTCTTGTGGATACTAGTCGATTCAAGTGGAATTTGATCATGAAATTCAGTTTCTTGTAATAAAATATCGGAAGTATTGGATGAGATAATTGATGTTTTTGATTGTTCAAAGGTAGTTGTGCGTGTCTTTGTGGAAGAACTTTGTCCAGATATATTTGATGGAGTTGGACTTTCAATACGAGTTAACATTTTTTCTAGATCGTTGACAGGACTTTTTTGTTTTATCTTTGATATTTGTCTTTGATCTTTTGTCCAGATTTGTTTTGAACTTGATGGAAATGAAGATCGATGAAATTCATTTCTTTTGTATGATCTATCGTTGATTTTATGTTGTTTTGTAATTGATGCAAGATAACTGAAAAAAGAACTAATGAAGTGTATTGATTTGAAGAATATACTAGCGAAATGAGACTAAACTGGACATGCCGTTCTTCATTCGATTTTATTTCTTTTTAAGCATTATTTTTTTGTGAAATTTTTTAACAAAAAATATATCTAATAGCTGGCTCTTGTAACTCACATCTAATTAAAATATATTAATGAATAAATCTCTTGTCTTAAGACGGAAAGCATTGTCTCATCATTGATCGAAAGTAAAAATGTTGAAAACTGAAGTGGAGACTTCTAAAACATTTTCTCACTCAGAAACTTAAAAATACAAGCAGCTGTATTTCCATCTAAGGATTATTATTGAGTAATAAAGAATGAAAGAATACTTTGAAACATTGGTTCATCGACCTTAAATGATGTTCTTATTTCACAATCATAACATTTTTATTTTGCTACAATAATTATGATACTGTTTCTATAAAGTTGAGCATTTTCGATAAATATGAGAATTTATTCTATTATGATAATTTGCAATTAGGAAATATAAATGTGTCTTATCTTCAGCCACACATCCCACCTCATCAGCTGATATTGATTGTGCAATAATAACATCTTGCTTCAACGTCTTTCAAAAATCTTCCTATAAGAATTTCACTTTTTATTTTTTCGAAGTTTTTTTCTATAGTTTTTACTTTCGACCAATGTTGAGTTTACCGATAGAAAAGTTCAACAATTGCAGGATGGACTCTACATATAGGAATTCTTTAACCTCAAGAATCATCTACAGAATGTATAATTTAGTTTTCAAAAATGCTGCCTTAATTCACGACTATTTTAACTGGAATGCAATGTAATATTGATTAATCTTCTTTTTTTGGATTCATGTCGCTAACACTGGTTCTATCAAGATATTAGGAGTAACTTGAAATATGTATGACATATAGAAATTAGACCTAGGAAAATTCATTATTTAAAGATATATGCATTTTAGTTTTGCAAAATCTCGTTGTCGACAAATGAATTCTTTTGTATTTTTAAATTTACTTTTCATAATTATAACGATTATTATTTAGTTTTTTATTGATTGATAATTGCTGTGCATGTAAATTTCTATTTCCTTTTCTTTTGCTTTGACTTTTGTCAAATATATTAGAATTTGATCGAATTTTGACATCCATCATTTTTGTTTGTAATTGATTTAAATATTGTTGAGTGTTTGACGATAATTTTGATAGTGATAAATGATTAGATATCTTATTTTTCTTTATTATTTTTTGTTGTTTTAATGAACGTGATGAAATTTTATTTGGTAATAAATTTTCACGGGAATTCATATTCTTATGTTGGGATAATTGACGATTAATCTTTTGATTTTCATCATCTAAAATAAAATACTAATATAATTCAAATTGGACAAAAAGCCGTCGATAGACTATTCGATCTAGTGTCGGCAATAGTTGGTCTCAAAATTGATAATCTATAGGCGATATATCGTCAGTACTTATGAGCACTGTGCTATATCTAGAGATGCACTAATTTCTATAGCATGATGTCAAAGATCGTCCAAAAAACTTAGAAGATACAAATTTTCCACCAACTCCGAAACCTGTGTTTAGTATTTCATGAGTTTTGATTGTAGCTTCGGACAGAGCGAAAAAAAACTGATCATGATTAATATTAAAAAATACACTGAAACTGAATTTTAACAGGGAAAACCTGTCATAGTCGACATGATATTCTAGAAATTGTTGTCTTCTCATTGAATTCAGATCCGAAGAACATTCATCAAACTAGGTCCAGGTCTCAAAATTTGGGATCTGACGGGCTCTATCGATAGTAATGCGAACAAACGGGTAACATGAATATTTATTTTTCATTTGATTTTTCGATAAATAAATTTTTAACTAACGAAGTCTGTTTCTAAGAAGACTTGTTTGTTGTTGATCAAATTTTGTTTGTGAATTTTGTCTATTATTAATTAATTGTATTGGTTTAGTTCGATTTCGATATTCTTGAATGGTTTCAATTGATCGACGATATGAATTCGATTCATATGACGATGATATTGTTTGATGATCAATAAATTTCTTTTTCTTTTTAGTTTTAACACGATCACCTGGACGAATTTGTCTACTTGAACTATTTGTTAATTTTTCTGATAATGAATTTATTTCTTGAACAAGATTTTGAGAATTTAATGAAGGATTTGTATCATTTAGTACGAAGGAATCTTCTTCATCATTTTCTGAGAGAATATTTTCAGGTAATTTTTCATATGGTGATATCATTGATTGATTTGTAGAATTTATTATTGTTGATGGAATTGTTCCTTGTGGTTGTGTTGTCTCGCGCATATTTATATCAGAAAGACATTGTATGGATTTAATTAATTCATTTTTATTAGAATTAAGAACATCATCTTCAGTATATTCGACACTAAAGAAAGTAAATAAATGAAGAAGAATATAAAATTTTTTTGTACATTGATTAATCAAACCGATAGGTTTTATTGCTTTTCGAATGAAATATTTCAATAAATTCTGGTTGATATAAAGTATCTTTATTTAAATTCGATCCAATTAATGAAAGTTTGATATTCTTTAACTAAAGAGTAAAATAGAAATTTGTTATTTTTCTCATATTGATAAAAAAGAAAAACAAGTAAGCTGAAAACTTTTTCAAGATCTTTTATTGAATCAATAGTAAATGTATGAATTTGATTATTATCTATTTGATTAAGTATGATCTTTTCTGATTGTTCATATTCATCAATTAATTCAATTTGAAGTGAAATATCTTGATTAAGAAATTCATTCTTATTGATTTTTATATTTATTTTATAAAAATTTTCTTCTAAATTATTTATTAAAGATTTATTCATATGATGAATCTATTTTCGATAATAATTTATTATTTATTATTTAATAACAAACAAAAAAAAATAATTAACTTACAAAATTAGTTGAATACTCATTTAAATGAATTATTAATTCATTATTTAGATTACTTAATTTTTTATTTATATTAGCTTTATAATTTTTTTTTGAATTTGCTTCAATAATTTCAAATGTTGATATTGACCACTAAGAAGAAGATCAAAAAAATAATAAAGTGTAATTCTTTTCTTTTTTTTGTTTTAATTTACTTCAGTTTTGAGTTTTCCATCAATAGAAAGAGTCGCTGATTTTAACTATAAAAGAAAATTAATAAAAAGATTTTATTTGAAATTGTTTTTTTTTTGTTTTATTTATACATTTCCAATATCAGGAATATTTAAAGAAAATGTATCATAATTATCTTTTTCAAATAAATTCTTTGAATTTATTTCAGATTGATTGAGATCAATCTTTTGTGATATGCCTTTATCTCCATATAATTGTAATTGAACTTTAGAATCTGTACCCATTAAACTTGAATCACCGGTTTTGATTGAAACTGTAAAATTATTATCTAAAACGAAGAAAAAAATTATCTTATTCTTTTTTTAGTTTTATTAATTAAATATTAGTACTTATTGATGGTTTAGCTCCTTGAGGCATATCCATTATTATTTGATCTATAGAATAAAATTATGAGACTTTTTCTTATTTTTTTTTCTTCGTATATGAATTTTCTTACCAAAATTTTTCTTAGCTGATATCGTACTTGGAATATTAGGTAATGAAAGTCGATTGTGACTCATTTTTGTTGATGTTGTATTTTTAATGACTGATAAGAAAACCTAGTACATTATAAATTTTTAGTATGAAAGTGATTTACATCGTGGAATTGGTTCAGCTTTTGCAATCATTTTTGGACTTTTGGAATCGAGCATACGATTGATGTTGAATCTAATTAATGAAAAAAATAATGAATGACTTTTAGTTATTGAAGACAAGGAATACTGTTCAAAGGTACAATTCTAATCTTGTTCGATATTTTATGTCTTACAGAAAAGAAAATCAAACTATCTCCTTTTCCATGAACGATTCGGTTATATTCTTTTTTATGATTTTACCTATATGAATCATTAGTTTTTAAATCATTGATTTCAATATAATCAAGTCCAAGCTTATGAATATTTGGATGTGTTATATCAACTTCAATTGATTGTAAATCACCTAATGATTTCATATTTTCAATATAATATTGATCTTTATGTCCAGGTTGAAATGTATTATACATTGTTATTGGATTATTTAATTCAATTTCTTGTTTGCCTTTATTTCCTTGAACAAATAATTTTATTGCTCGATCAGGTCCTTTTAATTCACTTGCTATTGTTCGAGTATAAATTATATAATCTGCTTTTCGTTCTAAAAATTTTATTTTTATAATAGAAAATTTCTTTTTTGTTTTTTTCAAAAAAGAAAAAGCAAACCATTAATCGGTTGAACATTTAAATTATTTTTTCCATCTTCTGTATTAATCCATTTATATATTGAGAAAATATAATCCTAGACAACAAAAAGACAGAATTTAATCATTACAAAAATAATTAAATATAATCAAATAAAAATTGACTTGTCCTTGTGTAATATCTCGTATAATAATTGTTTCAATAAACCATTTATCAATTTCACCAGTTGCTGATAATTGTAAAGATTTTATTGGACCAACATAATATTTTGATGAAAGTAGAAATTCATCTGTTTGATTCTCTTGAAATAATATTCTTTTATTATCTAATGATTTTAATGTATATGGTTCAGATGTTCCTTTTTCACCTTTCAAGATTATATTAATCGGTGGTAATGTTGACATATTCGATAAACCTTTTTCACCAGTTTTAAGTTTTATTAAATAACCAGGTTTTTCTTTTTCTAAAAATAAAAATAAATCGATATGACTTTTACTTTTTAAACACATGAAGATTAACCGTTCTTTTCTGCACACTATAATAGCCTGTTGGACTGCAAATTGATTTCGCCAGTGACATATTTGGAGGTGAACTCGTATCGAAAGAAATTTTCTGTATTATAGCTGTGATTCGTTAGCAAGCACAAAAGTACACAAGATTCGATAAAATGGAGCTTTCAAACTGTCTGAAAACTATGATCGATGCGGATAAACCAAAAAATGGCTTCTCTACTTTTCCGATTTCACTCTATTAGATAACCTGAATAGTGCGTTCATTATACCATTTTTCTCATTCATACGATCATCTGTCATTAATACTTCGTGAATCTTAATATAGATACATTTAATCGCGATATATTATGGCACTTGAACTTGAGCAAATATCATGTTCTGAAAGAGTTGAGAAAAAACTTCTATACGGGTTTATCAGGGGACGTCATCTTAGAAGCTTCTGTACAGTTTAGAAACGTAAGAAGATATTTTTCAATCATCTTGATAGAAGTATAAAGTAAATGCTCTACTATTAAATAAGAATTCCTCATTTTTATGAAATAGGGTAATACAGATCTTATGATTATTCTAATAATGACTATAGCACTTATCTCATCCTGGTACTTGTTTTTTAAGAGTTCGAATTTTATAAGCTTAATAAAAATTTACATGCTTTTATTTCTAAACAATGTGTAATCCCATAACAGAATAGTATTAAAACATACCTATGTCCTATTCACTAGTTCTTGAGCTACTATTTTTTACTAATATTTATGCGTACACATTTTTAGACTCACGAAAGAAACTCGTTTGTTAGTTAAGAACTAAACAGTGAAAAACGATGAACTAATCTATTCGATGATTTATATTGTTATTTTACGCTCGTTCGCATATGTTGTACTTTTATTTTATTTTTGCGGAGAGAGGGTGTTAGTAAATCATTACAAGATCGATTCTTACATACCTTTATTAGTATCTATTTGATCTAAAAAACATAGGGATACTAAATTTTAGAAATAAAATTCAAAAAAAATAATTTTTTTACTTGTATTTTCTGGATATACAGTTAAATGTCTTATTAAATTTCGATTATCCGGATTTGAACCATCAAATAATTGATTAATTATAAATCTATAAAAGAAAAATTATAAAATACAATTAAATGACATTTTCTTTTCATTGTCATTGTTGTTTTATACTTATATTGATTATCTGTTTGATCATCTTGAACAATAATATATTCACAAAACCATAATGGTTGTATACCATCAGATTGAACAAGTAATTGTAAAGAATTTATTTTTGCTAAATATGGCCAAATAAAATAAAATGTATCTAATTGATCAGGTTCAAATACAGAATTTTTAAAAGCTGAATTTGCACTAGATAAATTATCTTTACAAAAAAATAACGAAATTTAATTATTTTCGTTTTCTTTTTTAATCATAAGAATAAAAAAAATATTCTTACCAGCAAAACTTCCATTTTCACCTTTCAGTTGTATAAATATTGATGAATCTGTAACTTTATTTGGTTGTTTTCCTGTTTTAACTTGTATGGTATATGTTGAAAAACCAATTTTTTTATATGGTTTTATTTGTTTAAAAGGTTTTGATGGTAAATGATTGACAGGACCAATATCACGTTGAATAATAAAATGAGTTTTTTTCTCATTAGAATATTTATCAAATAAACGATTTAAAGGAAAACGATATATATTTGCAGCATCATCCATTATTTCAATCCAATCAACTTTCCATGATGAATATTGATTATCATGCCATATTTCAATAGCATATATATCACCTAAATAATTTAATTCAATATTAAATAAATCAATTTGTCCTGATTGCCATTTATTTTTATTAGTTGATTCTGTAAGTATTATATCTGATGTTTTATTATATGTACCATATAATTTAATTTTTACTTGTATATCATTTGATAATGATGAACTTATATCATTATTTGTTTTTATTTTTATTATATAAGTTATTTTAGTTGGAATATTTAATAAATCATTATTAATTTCTTTTGAAATATTTTCATTTATTTCATCTATATTATCATCATTTGAAATTTTTTCTGATAATGTACGTGCACAATAGAGAATAAGATTCATTCGATCAAGTATATCATTCGTAACTGATGAAAATAAAATGGTTTCTTTTACTCTTGGTTCATATTGCATTTGACACATCAATAAATCAATATCACCTTCAAATTGATTAATATATGTTAATAATTCTTGTAAATGTCTTTTATCTTGATTTGATTTAGTATCAATAAACATTTTATTTATTTCACGTATTGCTTGTTTCAATTTACTATGAGATGTTGTTGTTTCAACTGACAAAAGAGATCGATATTCAGGACGATTAAAACGTTCAGCCCGAAGCTATGAATGAGGAAAAATATTCTAGCTAGAGTTAACATATATGTTTTGATATATAATGCGATTAGAAACGATTTCAATTTAGAATATCAGTAAGAATAGCACAATCAAGCAATTTGATGAGACCAGCCTCAGATGATGACATGTGTTCGGGCTCTATACTTTCTAAATTCATGGAACTGTCAAAATGGCAACTTAACTCACGAAACTCTCAGAACTCACTGAACCTTAGCAATTCTAACAATTGAAGCAATCCTAGTGTTTCAAACGACACCGAAATCATCATGCTTTGTTTACCTGAAAATTTTAAATAATGTCAGTATTCTCTTACATCCAGAAGTTCGGGTTTTCAGAAATACCATGAGAGATGACAAATATATAGCATAGTCGTTTCCATGGACATTCAAATATGGGCATGATTGTAGCAATAGACAGAACCCTGCAGAGTTCTTTGTGTTCTTTAAACTCAAAACCGTTGAAATTCGGTCACTATTGTCGAATCTGTGAATGGCGATATTTAAAAATCGAGTAGATAGATTCTTTTCGTGATCATTAGCCGTTTTTAATTAAATGATGCTCATTAAAAACAACAGCAAGAGCAAATGAATTTTTTTCTTTCTTAAACTTCATGTTATTTTATTCAAACTACCGTCACCTCATATTTGAAATTAAAGAGTAACTATGTCAACTAATCATTCACTTTTTTTAACGAAAACTACTGGAATGTAAATTATTAAGCATGCGGATCCTGAAAAAGAGTATGAGCGAGCTCTATAGGTCTTAATATATTTATTACTTAGAAATTTGGTTTTTCAGATTAATGAACTCTGCATCCAAAGTTCCAGATGATAAAACGTATCGAATTACACAGACGATCGTCTCTGTTTCAATTCCAAATCGTTCTTTTGTGGAAACACATGCTGACATTTGAATTCATATAATAAATCCATAATCAAAATTTCAAAGTGAAAAATCTTCAACATGATGATATTTTACTTACAACTCATTTGTGGAAAATAGAAATGATTATTATCCTATACACACCCCCATATGATCCATAATCTGCATCGATGAAAATTTTTTTTGATAACACGTTTATTCAACTGGAATCTACAATCTAGTGGCTTTTAGTGAAGAAAGCGGTTAATCAATTGTTATGGTTCTCTCGTTAGTCAACTTAACAAATCTTAATTTCGTTATTTAAAAAATTTTTTAACTCATAATGAATAGCAGAGAAAACAGTTTTTTTAATTCGTTTCTTTTTATTTTTAATGGAGAAAAATATTCTATAAACTACCTCATAAATATTTCGTTTAGCTCTTCTACAAGCTCGTTCAAGAGCTTGTTGATGTAATCGAAGATCATAATCAATATTAAATGTTAAACAACAATCACGTTGTCTTTGTTTCATGTCATTTATTTCTTTTGAATATGGCAATAATAATTGATCAGTTTTTGTTTTATTAGTATCTTTATTTCCAATATGATTTATTGAATATTGATCAATACTATCTGTTGTATTATTATTTGGCATTTGAGATGTATCATCACCCGTTACATAACCTAATTCTCGTAATTTTACAAGACCTTTTATTTTACGTTGTTCTTCTTCTTTAAGTTGTTGTTCAATATGATATTGTTCACGTAATTTATTTTGTTGACGTAAATAATCTCGTTGACGTCGATCTTCATTATCTGTTTTAAAATCTCGCTGAATACGCATAATTTTTATTGCTAATATAGTAAAATCTGTTAATGATAAACCTGCATCAATTAACCTTTTTAAGAGTTTATCTGCTTTTGTTGTAATCATTTATTTGTTATGTTTTTTTTTTATAATCTTCGATATATAGGAAAAAATAAAGAAAATAATAATCAATAAAAGTAAAAATATTATCTCGTAATAAATGCGCTTTTTTTTCTTTTAAACCTCGAATTTTCATTGTTTTACTATAGATCAATCTTCAATTGATTAATAAAAAACCGTTTATATGCATACAGATAAAAAAAATGTTTATGTAAAACACGATCTAAAAGGAGCGTTGAATTATATAGGATAGAAACTTGGATCCGTCTTTCCAGACTATGACAGACGTTGTTGATATACAATCAATCATAGATCGTATATTAATAACAGATCGTTACAATGTATTCACTACTTCGTTTTTGTATATCTGGAGGATTAAGTAAAAGAAGAATGAAGAAATTTGTCTTGAGATAGATGAAATAAAACAATATTTCTGTGATTAGCAATAGCAGTTACATCGTGCTTGATGTTTTAATTTCACAGGATTTACGCTAACAGCTTTTCTGTCACAAAACTAAAACATGTAATGATAAATATATCTTGCACGTAGTTAGTATCTTTTTTGTCCTTTGATATCTTAGAATAACTCAAATCATTAGGAACACGATATTGAGATAAGAGAAAATCTTTAAAAAATCATTCATGCTGATAGGTATTTCTTCTTAAGTTCTAGTTCTTTTAGTCTTTTGAAGATGGACTTTGTTTTTAGTAAAAAAAATTGCTGAAATGCCAGAATTAGTTGTCACTTAAAAAGTACTAACTATCATAGTTGTCATACTTATTCTTATTTCAACGACACGAAAAGAGATTATTTAATAGACAAAAGAATCGAAATACTCGACGAGTCGACTTGAATCAGTCTAAAGACTAGCATTTCTATAAAAATTTTCAGAAGATATATTTAAGAACTTCACCCTTGAGGGATTATTGAATTTCTCAATGAGAATCTGGCCTTCTTCTCAGATTATCATAAAAATCAACTTCCGAGCTGCAACTTCATAAAAATAAAATACTCAATGAGTGTGACTCACTGTGAAAATATCAGATTTCTTAACATCTTTTATTCACAGATATGAATATTGCTAATATGACTATAACTCACAAAGAAAAAGCAATGACGATGAGTCGTTCTAGACTTTCTTCAAAAACGATCCACTAGAGACAATTCAAAATTTTTGATATACGCTACATTTACAGTCCTACTATTAAGAACACGGTATTGTAGAATATAGGTGTGACTATTTTCTGTGGCCACATCCATACCCACAGAGAATGATAAGCATAAATGAAGAGTCAGGTAGTCATCAATGATAACTCTTGTACCATAAATTTAAGGAAAATAAGTGAAAATACAGAAAACACGTATAAATGCAGAGAATTTTCAAAACTCCTCGAACATGTTCTTGGATGTCATGGTATGGATTCTCTAGTGAAAAATTTTTATTCTCTACACTTTTTTTTCCTTTCATTTCCAGTACATTTTAGGTGAAAATGTTATCATGTATGACTACTTAACTCTACAATTTCTGTTTATCATTTTCTGTGAATATGGGTAGGACCATAGAGACTGGTCACATTCACATATCTTTGCCTACAAGCTGCGTTATTATATATATAGTTTTATGATAGTTTATTGCCTACAATACCATGTTCTTAGTAGTAGAATCATAAATGTAGAAAAGACATCAAAAATTGTGAATTATTGCTAGTTAAACATTACTGAAATGAAGAATTATAGCTTCAATTTCTATCAGTCATTAGAAAATTTGCTTGAACTCTTAGATACATACATATTTATTGTTTATATTTTTAACAAACAAACAAGACAAGCATCATTCCTCAAGTCTTATGTTATTTTGTAAGTATTATTACAGTTCGATAAAAATCTAGAATTTTTATAAAAACTTGTTTTTTTCCGTCTAAATTTCATAAGCAATTCTTAAACATAATTCTGTACATGAACATGACATCTTTGATTCACATAGCTATAATTCCCCAGAGATAGTTTTGTCTACGAACTGTTCTCGTTTTGACATGTAATTATCTAGAGGCATGACATACGTGATTTTGTCAAAATATTTTCATCATAATTAGTTATATAGATTTAATTTATCTTGTATAAAGTATAAAATAGGATTTTTATTTCTCTAGATTATTTTCAATTCATGTCTAACTGATGCTAATTATTATCACTCAAAATAGTAGACGAAATATAAAATTAATTAAAAGACAAAAAATAAATTAACTACTAGGTACTTAAAATTATCTCAAGTATCATTTCTTTATAAAGATTGTGACAATATTCATGTAATTAAAAAGTAATCTAACAATAGAAAAAAAAACATGCTCCTTTATTCTTTAAGTTCTTTCTTCTGAACTGTTGAGCAATTTAATCTTCGTTCATAAGTTATTAACAAAAGTACCTTCAAAAACTAGGTAATTGTCTCTTATTTCTTTCAAATTAAAAATTCACATTTTCTTTAGAAGTTTACCTGAGTCTCTGAATTTCTTTCTATGATATAATTCTATTTACCCTAGACGAGTGTATAATTTTAATATTTTATTAAAAATTTATTAGTAATGTATGATCTTGAAGAACATTTTGCAATCCTTTATTTTCCTCTAATAACATTTTTTTAATATTCTCAATTAAATTAATTATAAGTATTTTTTCTTTGAAAGATGACATCACATTTGCGTGCACACTTCAATTTTGTTCATATTATTCATTTAGTCAAAGTCATGAATTTCTTGCTTAATATAAATATATAAATAATATCCGCTAATTAATGTCTTAGTTCTTTTTAATGAACATAATGGGAACATTTCTTTTCTCATGATATTTTATAATATTATTCAAATCTTTGAAAAAAAAGCATATGAATGAATTCTATATATAGAAAATTACAAAATTTTCTAATTGAAAACATAAATCTTGTCACTTTAATCTTGACGAAGAAAAAGATTGTTAATCTGTGTCAACACATAAATAAATGTTGCCATTCAGTTTTCATCATTTTAATTCATGCAATGTGTGTGTCATCAAGAGCAAATTTAACCATGGAATGTAAGTGGCCGTGTCGTTTTGAAGACTCATCAATAAAAGCAAGAGATTTCGGAAGAATATGATTGGTTGAATATTTCATTCCCATAATATTATTTTTATTGATTATTGTTTGTTTTTCATTGTTTTCAGTTTTTTCTTTTAATTTTCTAGGAATTCGTTGTAGATTATTCATTTCAGTATTGTTGTAATTAGTATTACTATATATATCCATATTTCTATTGAATAATCGATTTGATATAGGTAAAAAATTTTCAATAAATAATTGTTGAAATTTTCGACGAAATGATTTTGAAAGAAGTATAAAAAAAACAAAATTTGTACCATAATGCATATTACGTATTGTACGAAGTAGATGATCAATATAATGCATTTTTAATAGATAAGTAAAAGAATTTAATTTTTCTGGATACATACGTTTTATATAAACATTATATGACCAAAATAGTCGATATGGTAAAGTTAACATTAAATAAGTCAAAGCAACACTAACAAGCATAATTGTAATTGTTCGATCTCGTGAATGATGTCTTCTTTGTGCATTACTTTTAGATGTTGTAAGAATTTGTGAAGATTTTGATTTAATTGTATGTATAGGTAAATCAGTTAATGTTGCTTGATCTTTATGAGTTCTTGTTAATGATAATTGAGAAGAAGATTTTACTATGTCAACTGGTGTATTTTGAGCGTTTTCATTTTGGATATCTAATGAACTATTATATCTATACAAGACACTTTTTTGTAAATTATATAATGGTAATCGTTTCTTTTTAATTTGTATTGAGGATTGTGTTGTATTTGTTGATATAAACATGAGATTTTGTCGTTGCCTCAATGCTATAATAATCATTATATTCATAACAGCAACAAATGTTAAAGGTAATACATGTAAAAAACAAGATAATATTATACCAATAATATCATAAGCATATTCATGTTTTTCACTGTAATAACAACGTTTCCAAATAACAGCATATGTACGAGTGAAATTTTGTTTTAAATCAAAAACATGTCGATTTGTCGACATAACTGTTCGAAGTTCATGCATAAATATTGGATAAAGACAACATAATATACCTAATAATGTAATAATAGCAATACTTCGAAATGCTTGTAAATGTTGACGATATTTTATATTACGTGTTAAACAATAACAATAGTTAAGAGGAGAACAGATCAATGATAATCGTGATGGTAATGATGATGATGATGATGATGCTGATGATAATGAAATAAATGATTCAGGTGAATGTTTTTTCTTTTCACGATTTTTTTCATTAATATTTTTTTTCATAGGTCCGGATGATGCTTTCGATATGCGAGATGACATGTGAAAAAAAAAGGACGATGGACGACATACTGAATACCAACGATTGAATGATATAGCACACATATACCAAGCACTGAGGGCAGCAAATAATTGATCAGGACACATCAATGCTTTACTAAAAGATAAAAAGAAAAACAAGCAATCATAATAAAAATTTTCTAAACAGTAAACTACAACGAACCATAAATAATTTGATTTATCTCGAAAATAACCACGTTCAGGTGTTCGATTGAAACAATTATCAAGCCAAAATATAAATACGGGTATCAATAAATTAAGTGTATCCGATATATTAAGCATGATTGTATAAAACGATACAGGTAATTTAACAATATTACAATGTATTAAAATATATATCGTAAGAAGGTTACCAATGACACCAAGTAAAATCTAAAATATAATTTTTTTTTATTAAAAATAGTTTGAAGAAGTTAAAAAGGAAACAATTTTTTTACCAATATTGGATTTACAATAAGAACAAACCAAAGCGATATCACTGAAAGAAGACGATAAGAATTTGGGTCATTTAATGATGAAGGTAATGATGATACAATAGATAATGACGATGGAAATAGTGTTTCGAATGATGAAGACGATATATTCGAACTTGATGTATTATATATTGTCTGACTATCGGATATTTTAGACAGAAATTGTTGAAACATCACTGATAGATGTTGTAAACTCTTTGAATAACTCATATTATGATTCATATTATTTTCTGTATTATCATAAAGATAATCATAAGCTGAAAATAAATTTTCATTGTTTCCTTGAACTTTATTAGCAAGATTTAAGATAATACTATTGACAAATTCCGTATTGTATTCAGGAATATTCATTTTTATTTTTAAAATATATTTAAGATATAATAAAATCTAAAAAAAGAATAATAGATTAGTTTATATCAAATATATTACCTTGGATTCTTTAATTCTACTTTTCTGGAATAGTAAATAAAAACTTTTATTTTCTTTCTGTTCATTTTTCTCTTAATATCTATTACACCAGAAAATAATAAAAAAATAACTAGTATATGTATCTATTGGCTGATCGCACCTCAACAGTGTATGGTAAGTTCAAAAATCCTTTCGATAAAAATAATAAAACGCAGTATAAAGAATTTTAACAGATTTCCGTTTGTTTCGTAGATATAATAAGTTATATACTCACAAAAAAAATTATAAACGATCAACCAAAATACACTATCCAACAACAAAATTATATTAGCTATGTCAGTATTGAACTGATATGACAACATAACTGTATATAATTATTTTAATTAACACAATTAAAAGTCATTAGAGCGGCTACCAAACAAGAGGAAAATGATAGTCTATGTCGCAGAAGAAAAGTGTTCTTCTATAAGAATAAAAAAACACAAAAATAACGAAGACACTAAAAGGATCAACGGTTAAAGATGATAGTTGCGTATATATCTTTATTAAAATTACTCTTTTGTATATCATGCTTTTGACAAAACAGATATCAAAAGGACTATACAAAATAACTTGTTATTAGGATTTATCCACCTACACGCATATGAATTTCTTTGAAGAAATGCAACGAAACAACAAAAAGAAATATGATATAAAAAAAATTTTGGTATTAAGATAAAGAAGACCATAGAGTATATACGTTGAGGAAAAGTAAAACTATTCTTAACTGATAGAAGACAGATTATGAGTGAAAGAGTTATTATTGTGAAAAAAACTTTTATCTCTAAATGCCATTCTAACGATTAGTTGGCATGCACCTTTTCTTGACAATTCTTGCAAAGAATAATTTTTTCTTCATTCACTCATATTAAGCAAGCAGAAAGTGTTAGACTTTCTTCTTTTGTTTTTTACTAATGTGTTTTTTTCCTATTTTCTTGTTCTTTCAATTTCAAATTCTTTTAGTATTATCTGTTTTGACATATGGTGAATAGAGAAAAAAGAAGGAAAAAGAAATTAGTACCAAATATCGTATTTACTTGCTGATAGAAAACAAGCGATAATTTTTGTTTTTGATATATCAGATTAAAGTTATTTAAAATTAATAAAACACTTGAAATAATATTGAACAATTAAGAAATATATTTTTATCTTGGATAAAACAACAAAAGTAATATATATCCTACCGTTATTTTCCTTTGAATCATTCTAATTACATTGCTTTATTTTGATTTTTGAGTTCTAATCTAACTAGACATATTAATATTGATGCACAAAAATAATAAATACGTTTTGTGGCATAATAAGTTATGCCGAATTATTTTTTTCTTTATTATTTTTCTTTCATATATAATTTATGTACTGCTTACATAAATAACAACTTCGAAAAATATTAAAAAGTTCAACTCGTGGAATATCATAGAATACTTAGAAAGACACGTAAATAAATGATGGAAGAGAGATATTAAAAACTGAATTATTCATTTTTTTTTCTTAATATATAATTCGGTTGTATGTTTTCTCTGTCTTTTCTCTCTCTCGCTCGAGTTTCCGGGCGTAAATGACATTGTCATAAGGAGAAAATCAGTTTTCTGAATGTGTGCATTCAGAACACTCGATAATAAAACACAAGAGACGAAGGTTTTGCCCATCTTATTTTGTTATCATTTCATTCAAGTTAATTTTGTTTGCGTGTGTTCTATTTTTGCTTGGAGACTCTATATTTGCATGCACGATGAGTTTTTTTGAATTGTTGTTTTAATGCATTGTATTATTTGGCACCTTTTAATAATTTTATCTTTTAATGATAAAGACAAACAAAAACAGCCAATAGATTATGTAAAAAAAAAACAACGCACAATCGAATCAACATGAAGAAAAGAACCATAGTCGTGTATATATATATAGTGTTTGTTTCTAATCAAATTAGTATGATTTGAATTCAGTGTTTTTCACGTGACACAAGACTTGCTCGACTACTCTGACTGCTTTGACGGGCTACAGAATGAATTTTATCTTTCTTTTTATGATCAGGAGTTTTGCCACCTGTGATACATCTATTAAGAGCATACATGGCTACAGCAAATACGACAGCATTAATAATCAAGTAAAGAACCCAATAGAGTGCTAATATAATTGCCAAATTTTCTCCATCGCATACTTCAGTTGATGTTGATGCTGTAGTGGTCGACATACTAGAATAGATAAGCAATAAAATATAATCAATGTAGTAATATTTTGCATGCACACAAACTTTATTTTTTTCTTCTTGTAAACTTGATTCGTATGTCTTTGTGAATATGTGCACAAATTTCGCTTACCCTTTTTTTTCTTTTTTTGTATTGATTGCAAAACAAGCAAAATGCACATGAGAGACACCTACTCAGTCGCTTTTATTTTCGAGTGCACTTTGAATATTTCAAAAATCAACATTACTTTTTGATGCTGTGTAAAATGCAAACGATTTGACTGAATGAAAAGAAAAAAAATTGAAACGAATAAAAAACTAATAATCATAACAGCATTTGACTAGATCTGAAATGCACTACCAAAGCAAAAAAAAAAACAAATGTCATGTGTCAAATGTTTTGTACATCTTTAGCTTTTGTTTTCTCATTATTCCATAACGGTTAATAGTAGATAAAACAATAAACACATTGTAGACCAAAACAAATACCTGTTGTTGGACAACAAGCAATATGGAAAGTATATTTACGAACGGAAACAAAACATGATTTGATACTTATATATAGAATAGGACGACAAAGCGGAAATAATCATCTTCTACGTATATACTAGATTTATACATTCATCAGAGCGAATTGCCATTTAAAACTAGTCACTCAAAAGGAAATAATGGATTCGAAAGAGATCGCTCAGTATACTGCAAAATAGAAAAGAAAATTTGTTCTTGTTTTTATTGAGTGCATATTTCCTATGATTATCATACTCGGTTAAACATACTGTCGAAGCTGAACAATGCTACTTATTTAATCATTTTCTGCTTTGAATAAAAAACAGCAATTCTTTTGTAACTTCTTGATGAAATAAAACAGACCGGTATGTACAAATTTCAATGAAAGGATAAATTTATATTTTCGAATAGTTTTCTTTACAATTATTTAAAAGAAAACAATGATATTTCATTGTTAGTCAATGAACAATAAGAATGATAAATCTATTCATTTCGTAATAGCTGAAGGCATTCTTGTTAGATTGAAAATCATGCAGCTTCGCGAACATATGACATTAAAATTTAACGATCCATAAATCATACTTACTTCATTAGTATCAAATAAAATGTCTATACTTTAAAAAAGTATAGCAATATAATTATCTGAGTAGAATTCAATTATTCCTTGAAAGATTCACACAATGATGTTGTAAAATTATACTACATGAATAATAAATAATCTTATGAGTATGTCGAATATTTAATATAGAAGAAGTTTAAACAATTATACTAACCTAAATCATGAAGATTCTTTTTGTAACAGGTGATGCAAATGTTCTTGCACAAAGGTCAATTCATTTTTCATTAGCTAAAACATGTGTGAAGCAATTCGAAAATATTTAAACAGAACCCACGTTGAATGCTCTTTCTAACTATATGTTCAGAAAAAGTTCTATCATGTCTTGTCTGTAAACAGTAAGCACATCTATAAAAGAAAACACATACTACAGAAGATGAAACCTATTCTCGAAAAATCATGGAGAAAATACGGTGAAATTATTTGAACTAACATTGAGAAAGCTTGCTCTCAGTCCTCTAGTGATTTCCAGACTGACATTTGTTTTGTTTTGCTCGCTATTCGATTTTATCATTTGTAATCATTGACTCTGAAATATTCATAGAGCGAGTATCTCAGATCATTCAGAGACATCATATTAATTGATGTTATTAAAGATGGCATCACTGGAATCTCGAAAATCTTACCGAGTCATTATAATTTATACACCCAGTTTTAACGTTATTTCTTATATCATTGTTTTTCTAACCGTTGATCACACCATACAACGCGGCACTGTACAGTTTTCAATCAAATTAGTAGAAAATTGAGCAGTACATCTTACCAAAAAAAAAGAGCAGCGCCATATAACTGATCGTATTGTACAGAATAAAAAATACAGAGAGATTCGTTTTTCTGTGCCCACTACTTTGAGCTGCTTGTATAGAGTGCATTTTAGTGCTGTTTAAAGACGTACTCCTAAATGAAAGGCAAGACGTAGTAGAACTTTTTTAAACATATTGAGTTTGTTCACACACATGCTTGAGTTAATAAAAAATTAACCAACACTTGTACGGGAACTTCTGCATCATTTGTAATTGTGGACATCATATATATCTATGGATAATGGCATTTATATAAGCATTGTAGTTGAAAATTAATGGCTAAAAATCAGGATCAAATGTGACATATTCTTCTGAAGGGTGATTCAAAAGTTTCGACCCCTCTTGGTAAATCGATGATATCTATAACAAACTTATATAAAGTTATTGATCAAATTATGTTATTTTACAGAGGAAGAGTAGAGCTATCATCTGAAAACAAACAGTTCAACATACATAAATCTATTACAATCTTATGGTCATTTTACTAATCTTGAGTGAAAATTTTTATGTTAAATTTTTAAAAAAAACAAAATATGTTTGTAACATCTTAAACAACAAATTGTATTCTAGATATTTTTACATTATTCGAGAGAGTTTGACACGCTTTACAAGAATATCTATGTTTATAACACCTTTGACCTTATTTTCAATATAAAACTTAAAAGAAGTTTAGAAAAATAATAGCGATTTCATGTATCAAATATCAGAGAGAGTAAGTTGATCTTTCAAAACTATTAGCTGGTTGACTGTTCTATCTATTCAGACAACTCAGAAGAGGTATTTTCAGCTTCAGTATGTAACACTGCATCTTGAAACATCAATTAACAGTCAATCAACCAAAATGTTTGAAACTTAAGCATAATATAGCCCTCGCCAAAAGTTCTGGGACACATAACAGTAATTATTCGAAATTGTTTTTTCTTATATGGATTTAAGTTATTATCTATTTTTGTTTTTCTGTATAAAAATCAGAAGCTTTGCGTCTGCATAAGAGAAAATGAAAGCTTGACCAATTACCATGATTACTTTAGATAAAAACTTTTACCGATATAAGGAAAGAAAGTTTTGAACAGCCATTCTTATATGTCCCAGAACTTTTGGCAAGGACTGTATCTCATGAAAGATATGTAAGATTTTTATTTGTTTGCGTGGTTTCATTCGAGTTTTACATTGGGAACAGGATTCGAATTTTTTTGAGATTTATATTTTTGTCGAGCTTGCTGAACTGTATCGAACCACATAAAAATATCTATTAGAAACAGGTAGAAAATAATATTTGGCTCGACTTTAACGACTCAAACATTAAAGATTTTTTTGTTTTTTTCAAAAAATGTAACTTAAAAAATTTCACTCAAGATCAGTAAAATGACCATAAGATTGCAATAGATTTATGTATTTCGAACTATTTTTTTTCAGATGATGGCTCTAATCTTTCTCTATAAAATAACATAATGTGATCGAATAACTTTATATAAATTTCTTATAGATATCATCGATTTACTGAGAGGGGTCGAAACTTTTGAACCACGCTTTAGTTAATCTTCATGTGAAATACTTTAGTTCATTGAAAGCAAATAAAAATTCAAATGCAGATTTTGATCTTCGTCCTTTGTTTCATTTGTCTTATCAATGATGTTTTATTTTTATCTATTTAAATGTAAAGATGAAGAAGAAAAATTGGATAAAAATGATCCCAATGTTCTTCAGAATATCTTCATTGTTAATTTGCATTGTTATTTGCCTATTTGATCAATTATTCCGAAACCAATTCTTATAACCATAGATGATCCTCAAAAACTATTTATAACTCCATCTATTGATAAAAATGAAAATCTAATTGATATCCCATTAGATTCTCAAATATTATTTGCAAATGAATTTATTGAAAAAACTTGGACAGAGAATTTAA